TAGCCCACCATTGAGAAAAACCCACAGTCGATAAATAATTTGATTCGAAAACATAGGGGTAAAAATGCATCGGAGTTTTTGGCAAAAACTTGACAAGTTCCCGTCCGATTGTCGATTCCGTTAACTTGGACCTTGGGGAAATATCCAAGGGAAAGAAGGGTAAGGACTGGCTCAGACCAAATTGCCTCGAGAAAAGTTGAGGGTAGTAAGTAATGAACTTGAAATCTTTGGGTTGGAAACCCGATATTAGTATATCATGAGTTAAATAGTTATTCCATACATCTACCAACTCTAATTGCAACCCGGGAGTTGAAGCAGGGAATTTCGACTTAAACCAAATTGGCCCCCTGAGTTGGTCACTCATTCGTCCCAGATGTACGGTAAAAGGAGCCAAAGTTGAATCAAAATTAACCTTAGTTAACAAAAAGTGGAGGTATCTACAATAGGCAGCTTCATCGGACTTTTGATGAGGATGGTGAGAAGACAATCGGGCCCCTTCTATATTTACACTTACGGGGACGGTAGGAGTTGGGGGAAGGATGCTCTCAAAAATCGAATTTAGCCACAACTGTATAAACCAAATAGGGCCAGAGAAATTTCTAGAAGCTTTAGGAGTACTCAAAATTTCGACGGCCTCGTCGAAAGCAGTATATACATGTGCTAGCAAAAATTTGGCCAAACATATTCTAGGTTGGCCTAGGTGAAGGAGATATGCAAGGTCAAACAGATGGGAGGAGATTTGGATCGATCGAGGGCAAAAAACGTGGGTACACAACCAATATACCAAAAAGGCGATATGCTCTTCATCAGTTACAGTTATCGATTCATCATCGACGAAATGTTTCTTAAGGAAATGCCCATAAGCTTTCGATTCCCAATTGATTTTAGATCTTAGAGAGTTATCCGAGGGACATGCACCCTTAAAATATCTTTCCCCTATAGGTTCTAATCCAGTAATGGCCGCAACTTCAAAAAGGGTAGGCAAAAGAGGACCGCAAGGTAATTCCAGGGCATGTATTTCCTTATTCCACAAGTGAACGGCAGCCAAGAACATAGCCATGTCCAAATGAGATAAATCACATCGGGACAGGTGCAAAAAATCAAAAATTCCCACGCTTCTCCAATGATCCCCGAATCTAGCCTTAACCCTATCAAACCATCTAATGAACAAAGGTTTTTTGGAAGGAGGGCCTGTCCGATACACCTTAGAGACAAGGTTCAATAAATCAATCCTAACTTCAGGTTGGTGTACAAGAGCCGAACTATTCGAGAGGTTGAGGGGAGAAAAGGTTCCATCAATAGGACGAAGAGGACCCCCAAAAGCATAATTAACACCATCAGCAGTGTAAGGAATAAGTACCTGCGTCTCAGCTATTTTCCGAGAAGCTTCCTCCATCAGAGGGACTGGAGCGAACTTCTGATTGTTGATCTCCAACAGGTTCGATGCCAATGAGGGAAGGGGTGGAGCGGAAAAATCAGAAGATTTGGAGGAAGTGGGCATTTCAGTAGCTGTTAGGATGAAGAAAAGCAAGGTAAGAGATGAAGGCGCAGGGATGAAGACAATAGCTCAAGGAAGAAGATGAAGTTGCAAAGGGTAAAGGTTCGCGTAAAAAACCAGAATAAAGACCAATGAAGAGATTAAAAAGAAAATCACCTAGGGAGTTGGAAACGACGGAGGGGAAAGGTAATTAATGTGGCTTGTACTGTAAGGTAGCAGACTGACGAGACAACGACATAAAGTAAAAAAGAAACCCAAAACCCTAGAACCCCAGAAACCCTAAACCCTAAATTCTATGGACCTCCAAATACTAAGGCGGGAATATTGAAAGAATATAAACAGAAACTATTCATATTCTTCCAAGGGGGCATTTGTTAGTGGCAAATCGAGAAAAGCGATTGAAAACGAAGGAAAGAAAAAGCGAGAAAATATGCAACTGATTGATAAATCGATAAACAAAAAACCATTCGATGTCTAAATAGAAGTACGTAATACATAACATCGAGAAGCACAATCGAGAATCGAGTGAATGATAACCAAATGCTTATTGTCAAATAAAAAACTAAGAAATTAGAGTTATATGAGATCAAGGTTAAAAAGAAATCGTAAGTAATTTGGAGTTCTCGAAAACATTAAAATGAGAGTGAAGAAAGACAACCTAAGTAGACATCGAGACCTTGGCCAAACCGTGAAGGGAAGAATAGTCAAACGCACATATAGGAAGCAGTTTTTAAACAATGATAGAAGTCGAACATCGTGAGAACGTGGGAAACTGTAGAAGATAAACTGCAACATGCACGTAAAACGTGGTGGCAGTTTTGTTAACTGCTCCTGGAAGGCTTGAATGATGCCCTATAAATAGAGCAAAGGAGGAAGGGACAAGGGGGCAGAAATTGGCAGAAAACAGAATTAGTAGTGAAAAAAAAAGTCTACCGGAGAAACGACGAACACCATGAAGTTTCTGGCAATCTGGATTTCCATGCTCACGGAGTACCTTTATCGCTTTCTGTATTTTCCTTGGTAACTTACTTTGATGCAATTTATATTCAGCAATTTTATGTTTCTGTATTTTCGATTCTTGGTCATTTCAATTCAATGCAAGTTTCCGTATTTAAATTTTCTGGTCGTTTTACATTAATGCAATTTCGATTTCCAGTAATTCATTGTACCTTTGAGTTACTGTCCTTTACATTTCTTGCAATTTCGATTTCTCGATATTTACATTATTGCTGTTTCAATTCCCTGCTCTTTTACACTTAAAGCAAATTTAAGATTTTCGCAGTTTACGTCTCCTTGCAATCTAAGTTTCAGCACTGCTTTTCGATTCCATATATTTTCTGCTTTCTTTACTTCGAGTATCCTGAATACAAAACATAAAAAAAAAAATAGTACCTAGGAAATCGAGTAAAATTCGATCCCCATACACATTTTGGTTGAAAATTAACTTGCTAGCCTAAGCAAAAAGAATTTACGTGGTAGAATTTTGATTAGGATCAAAATATCTTAGGGGTCGAAATCGATCGAAATTCTACCAGAAACAGAAAGAAAGAAAGAAAGAAACAAAATTAAATCAAATAAACAATGTTAGAGAGTAGAAATTTGTAAGTTTAGATAGATAGAAGTTTTGTAAATCATCTAAATATATTTTATTTTTATAAATGTTTATCTTATTACACTATGCTACTTTACTTTTTCTAAAAAATAATTAACTCAAAATCACTTGAAAATGGTAAATTTATGTTATTAAAATTAAAGGAAAATTGCAATCTCATAAAAAGTAAAAACTATATTGTTGTCTTAAAAAATTATATAATGTAATTATAAATTTTAATTAATAAAACATATAAAATATACTAAAATATGATTTTTTAGAAGTACTATGAAAGAAAATTGTGATGTCATCGTGACGACATTAAAAATATATAAAGTTTGTGATGATCATATATCATTTAAAAAAATATCATCACAGATCTCTTTTTATTTATTGATGAAATTTTATAACGTGTCACTAATTATTTCTTCATAAGTGTCATCACAAAATAAAAAAAATATTTAATTTATGAGTTCATTATTGTCACTTAAGTGAAAATTTTGTCTAATTTAAATGAAAGTTTTGTTTAGCTTAAGCAAGAGATTGATCTACTTAAGCGATGGGGTGAGTTTTAAAAATTTTGCTAAGTTATGATTACTTAAACGAAATTTTTGTTAGTTTAAATGAGAGATTGGCCTTAATTAAGTGGGACTAAGTAAGTATTTAAATTTTTGTTAAGTCACACTTAAATGAAAATTGTTTAACTTAAGTGATAGATTAACTTTTGCTTAAGTGAATTTGAGTGAGTTTTTAAAATTTTGTTAAGTCTTCGTTTAAGTGAGAGTTCTTTATCTTATATGCTTAAATGTGATGTATTAATCGTTTAAATAGATGTGTGATCCGTGTGTCATTTGCTTAAGCAAAATATATCGCATATTTGAGTAACTTATTTTTTATATATATAAAAGGATTGCATGGATACCAAAAAATTAATTGAAATATGAACAAAACAAATATTAATTAAACGTTCAAATTTGCTCAATGAAAGTCGCTTAAATTGTTATTAACATATGTTTAAACAGATATTGTTTTCATCCCTATTTGTGATTACGTGAAATTTGTGATGTTCAATTTTGCGATGGTATTTTGATTTATCACAAATTTTATTACAAAATAGTTTCTGTTGAATTCTTTATTATTTTGAGACGAATTTCCATCCGTCGCAAAAGTTATTTTTTTAATAATACATAACTTGAGCAAAATAATCAATCAATAACAACTTGCGAGACAAATAGTTTTGATGAGTATGTAGATCTAATTAATAAATAATAATAATAATAATAATAATAATAATAATAATAATTAATTTAAAAGAAATTTATATATTTATTTTATTAAAATAAAATTAATCAAACTGTGATGAGAAGTGACATACAATTAAATATATATGGTTAACCGAATTTTAGGATAAAAAATAATTATCGACAAAATTTATAGATATTTAATATTAATAATATAATTATTAAAAATAATAAACTAAAATATATTAAATTAAATATATTTTTAATTATTTATTTACATTTTTTTTATGCATGAATCCGTATATTAAGACAGTAAAACTAATGACAAAAAGTTACATAAACGTAGAAAAAAAAATCTTTTATGATGTTATCGAACTTGGCACCTACATAGCCACCCCTACACACGTCATTAATAATTTCAAAAAGAAAAAAGTGGAAAGTCATAATTACATAACAATCGACACAAATAGTTGAATATTCCACACTTGTACACTATGTAACTAGGGTTTTCCTAGACGACACGCGGATTATTGAATAGTAACTAGGGTTTCACAACCGACACAAATAGTTGACTATTCCACACTCGTAGCCTATATAACTAGGGCACGTTGGAACTCATTTTCACACCAACCCAGAATATCGATCGACATTAGAAGTTGCCAAATTAAAAATGACATGCAACACTTTTTCACTGTGTCTCAGCTTTGCTTTAATCTTCTACGGTATATTAATTCATCTTCATTCTTCATTCTTCATTCCACCACTTCTCTTTCTATTCCCTTTCTTTTTCTGATTCTGTTTATCCGATTCCATTTAGTTAGACACTTTTTCCATCAGTTATGTATGTCTAAGGTAAAATTTACAACAATTACATGTTTTATTCAGTAATTTATTTTCTTTCATAAAAAATAAATAAATAATATTGTGGATTCTAAATTTTTTTATTGAAACCGATCATAATATCGACTTCTAAAGTATGTGAATTTCTTTTGACATTGATGGCCAAATAAAAAAGAGGTCCTGAAATTCACGCCCTTTTTCATCCGAAAGTTAAAATTTATATTAAAAGGGTTATTAGTCAAACATATTAGGAATTCAAGCTCTATTAGTTTGTTATCCTGTTTTAAACAGGAAAAAACAAAAATACAAACTCTTCTAAACATATAAAAAATTATAGGTACGTAATTAATATTATTAATTTTATAAAGGGTGTTTTTCTTTTCTGTGTAAACTTATTTTGTTTTTGAGTTGAATTTTAGTTTTAATTTTTCTTTAAAATTTTTGTTTATTTGCTTGAACAAATTGAAAAGCTCTCACTGATACTCATTTTGTTAATAACTCATTTCACCTGAGAAATTTTAATGCACACTCGTTCACTTGTAACTTCGAATTTCATAATATCAATCATAATCATAAAAGTAGGGTTAGCAGTGTATACTTTGTACAAATATGGGTCCTATTTTGAAAAAGCTTTTCAATAAATAAAAAAAATAAAACGTTTAGGAGAACTATGAATTTCAACTATTAACAGAAGAGTTGTTTTATTTTGTATGTAAAACTACATTCTTGTCTCTGTATTTCTTTATCACATCTCTGTATATCTCTTTCTCCCCTTTATTGTAAAAATGCTCTTATTCCAAGATAACCTAGAGATCATTATTTTACTGAAACACAACAATGAATATCTCATTTATTAAAATAGATAGTTTAGTTTTCCATTAACTACACTACTTATTACAAGATGCAGATAAATACGGATGTAATTAATTTGTGGACAAACTCAAACTAAAATAACTAGTATTGTATTGAAATGATTTTTAAGATTAAAATTGTGATTCTTTTGAAATAGGAAGTAATATTTTTCATAAAAAAGTGCATGAAAGATAATATTTTCTTAAGATATTGTTTAGACTATGTTGTATATTGAGACTAATAAAAAAAATTAACTTTTCTACTAACTAAAATTGTTTTATAAATAATTAATTTATAAATATTTTATTTAAATTAATTTTATTTTATAGATAAACTTGTTTATTTTATATTTTTCACTTTAATGAAGAAGTTGGTCCTCATATTATAACATAAACATGTCCAAATAAAGTAACTAAAGATTATGGTTTGGATGCAGTGGCTCAAGGAGCGAAAGTTACTTTCATAAACCATTGCGACTACACGGTATGGCCAGGAACCCTAACCGGCGACCAAAACAATCAGCTGTCAAAAACAGGTTTCGAGTTGGCTTCAGGAGCATCCGACTCTGTGGATGTTCCTTCTCCATGGTCGGGTCGGTTCTGGGGCCGAACCGGATGCTCCAACAACGATGGAGGGTTCAGCTGCGCCACGGGTGACTGTGGCTCCGGTCAAATCGAATGCAACGGCGCAGGTGGAGCTCCACCAGTGACGTTGGCAGAAATCACTATTGCATCAGGGGGAGGGCAAGATTTCTACGACATCAGCAACGTGGACGGCTTCAACGTGCCCATGTCCATATCCCCACAAGGTGGCAGTGGCGAATGCAAAACCTCGAGTTGCCCTAAGAACATCAACGATGGGTGCCCTTCAGATCTCCAAATGAAAGGGTCTGATGGTAGCGTGATTGCTTGCAAGAGTGCGTGTTTGGCTTTCGGAGATGATAAGTATTGTTGCAAAGGAGACTACGGCACTGCAGATACATGTCCACCTACGCCCGACTCTCAGTTCTTCGAGGAACAGTGTCCTGATGCTTATTCCTACGCTTACGATGACAAGAACAGCACATTCACTTGCTCCGACAATCCTGATTATACCATCACCTTCTGTCCTTGAATCCTTTACACCTCCCAAATTTACTTACTATAAATAAGCCTATTAGGGCATGCAAATATATATGCTATGACCCATCTAGCGGCATGAATAAAAAACATCATTTCTTTTCGCTGTATCCGTGAAAGTTACCGTAGAATAAAGTTTAACTTTTTCGATTTGATTAATTTGAATTGGAATTGAGTTTGAATCTTAGAATATAGAAATGAAAAAAAGAAAAAAGAAAAAGAGTAACATGTATAACTAAGAAAGATACACAACTCCATAAAATTAAGGTTTGAAATTAAATATGTTGTGACAATATTCTTTTATGTAGTTGATTTATGATTAATTGGTATATATCTCCCTGTCAGATTTCATGGTAAGAATTTCATGAAAGCTGGTCAGCGCTTTTCGTTCTACAGGAAGTTTTTCTACCGTAAAAATTGTCCAACAATTTGTTTATGGTCCTTGACCTTTGGCCTACCCATACGTTTGTTGTTATCCTTGGTGTCAAAACATCCACGATGGTGAACTCTTTTACGAGTACTCCTATAATATTTGTAGGACACCGCATTGCCACATCGTCTACAGAACTATATCTAATTTTTTACTTGCAATGTAAACTTGTAAGAAACTCAATTGGTCCCACACATATTACTTATATGTTTATTTTGAATTCATATACTTTTAAATAAAAATAATTTTATTATCCGTTGAATTTCGTTAAAACTTTTGCAATCCACCCCTTCGGGTAATCCATTTCCGCTCCTCTAATGTATTTCCTCACTTTCAAATGCTGTTGGTGTCTTTTCCATGCCTCTACCTTTGTCCGCCGCTCCTCGGCCGCCAACCGAAACCTCTGCCCTTCCAAGCGCAACCTCTTTGCCTCGTACCTTCTTCGTCACCAACCACACCCTCTCCTACCCAAACCTCTACTTTTTATTTTAATGTGATTTTGTTGATTACACTATAAACAAAATACATTTAGTGATCGAAATTAGCGACCGATTTAATTTTGGTCGCAATTAGCGACTGATTTAATTCAGTCGCAATTAACAATTGATTTAGCAACCGTTTTAATTCGGTCGTAATTAGCGACCGATTTAGTGACCAAGTTCATTCGGTCGTAATTTAGCGACCGATTTAGTCACTAAAATATGATTTAGTTTCATTTTTTTATTTAACAACCAATAGTTTGCGTTGCAAAATTTTGGTCGCTAAATCGGTGGCTATTTCATACTAAAATAAAAAAATTATTTAGCGACTGATTTAGCGACCAAATTACAAATAGAAATAGTGACCGAATTGAAATCGGTCGCTAATGAGAAAATAGCGACCGAATTGAAATTGGTCGCTAATGAATATTATTTTTTTATTATATTTAAATATTTTTTTTATAAATATACTTTAATTGTTTTAGTATATTTTTTACAATTTATTTTTTAAAAATAATTTAATTTTTAAAATATACTTTAAAAATAAACTTTGGTCTCAATATTAACAAAATGAAGATTAACTTTAATTTTAAATTACTAAAATAAAAATATTATTAAAAATAAATCAAATTTATTAAAAATTTAAATTGTGATAAATTAATATTAAAGTGATATTAACTATTCAATACATTGTTTAAGAAAAGTTTAATAACAAATATTCTTTAATTTATTTTCATTTGAAATTAAATTATATTTTAAAAATTTATATTAGAAAAATTAAACACATCAAATTATCACATTTTAATTCCTCATTAACTTAATTAATTAAAAAATTACAATTTTAATCTAATTTTTAAATTTATTGCTTTATTATTATTAATTACTTAACCATGGTTGTTGTCATATAATTGATATACCAAAAAAATTTATATCAATATACATTAGATAATAAATATATTATTTAATTAAATTATTTATAAAAATATATTTATCTTTAGTTAAAATATTTTTTATTTTAAGTATACTAATTAATATTTTTCATTTTTAACATAATTAATAACAAAGATTAAAAATAGACTGCTAGAAAATTTAAAAATTTAAAATTAATCTATTTTATAAATACTAAAAATAAACAATATTTAAATAAATTAAAAATATATTTAAATTTATATTCAACATACCTCCAATTTTGCTCAATAAATTTATAGATCACATTTGGAAACTTCATCACTTAAATAACTTCAAAATTATTAACATTTTTTTTTCAAAATTAAGTTTTTCTTATCAGTTTTTTCAAAAAAATAGTTAATATAAGTTAAGGTTGTGCCTTTTTAAAATTTAAACTTTTTTATATATTGGATTTTCATTAAAAAATTTCTAAAATTGCATAAGAAAATAGAGATTTAATTATACTTTTAATAAATTTAAGATAATACTAGTTTTTATTTTTATTTTTAAATATTTATTTTAATTTTTTAAAACAGAGAAACTATAATTTTAGTTTCTACATACTAAATTTAAAGAATTAAATTTATTATTATTTAATATTTTAATTTTAGTATTAAAAATTTAAATTATATTTTATTAAATTAAAATAATTACAATATATTTTTCTACTTTGAGAATTAAAAATATAATTAAACTAAAACTGAAAATATTATAATACATTTTTGAACTCTTTTTTTAATATTTTTATCATTATTATATTTTTGGATTAATTGTTTTTTTCCTAATTTTTTATAAAGTCAATTTTAATATTTAAAAGTATTTAACATTTTGAATTCTGAAACTTTTTCTCTATTAGCAAATTTAAAAACATAATATACTAAAAAGTACTATACATAATTATTTCATCCAAATTTTTAATAATATGATAAGTCTAGCAAATTCGTATATAAAACAAATTTAATGATGAATTAAAATAGAACAACATTTATAAGAGATTATTTATTTTTATTTATGATGGATCAAAAGTGTAAATACATTTAAATTTATAATTTTATTTATGAAACATATTTAAATTTATAATTAACAAAAATAATGAAAATCTTAATATAATATGATACTTTTAGTAATATATTTTTTTATAAATTTAAACTTACTTTTTTTAGTTTAGTTTTTAAATTTTATGTATTTTTATTGTTAATTGATATACTAGAATAAATTTATATAAAAATAGTCTTTATCTTCAAAATTCACTTCTTCAAATACTATCTTTATATTTTTCTACTGTTTCTTTATAGTTAAGAAGGTCAACATTTGTACACACACTTAAATATAATATAAAGTAAAGAGTATTTGTTTATTCTATTTTATTTCGTTGAATATAGAGAAAATAGGATTTGGAATTAATTTTCCTTGTGTATAAATCACACATAGGGTGGTCTATTTATAGTAGAGAGATACAACTAAAAGAGTAACTGAAAGTAACAGAATAAACAGAAGATATTGTTTGATATTGTGGTTACCAATATCTAACAATATCTTAACAATATCAAATAATATCTAAACAATATCTAACACTCCCCCTCAAGCTGGAGCATACAAATCGTATGTGCCAAACTTGTTATAAATATAATCAATTCTAGGACCCAGTAAAGATTTAGTAAAAATATCTCGCTAACTGATCACTTGAGTTAACAAACTCGGTCTTGATATCTCCGGACATAATCTTTTCTCGAATAAAATGACAGATCAATCTCAATGTGTTTGGTCATCTCATGAAAGACAAGATTAGAACTAATATGAAGAGCAGCACTGATTGTCACACACAAGTGTCATTTGAGTGACATCTCCAAATTGTAACTCTCTAAGCAATTGCTTGAGCCAAACAAGTTCACAAGAAGCCGAGGTCATAGCTCTATATTCTCGCTTCGCACTGGATCTTGCCACAACACTTTATTTCTTACTTTTCCATGAAATCAAGTTACCACCAATGGAGACACAATATCCGGATGTAGATCTTCTATCCGAAGGAGATCCCGCCCAATCGACATCCGAGTAGGAAACCACTCTTGTATGGTTATTAGAACCATATAACAATCCTTTTCCAGGAGATCCTTTAATATACTTCAAGATACGAATGATCGCATTCCAATGATCTTCACATGGTGAATTAAGAAATTGACTTACCACACCGATCGCAAAGGAAATGTCGGGATGAGTAAGCTGTAAGATAATTCAATTTTCCAACCAATCTTCTATACCTGCTCAGGATCGATATAGGCTCCCCCGATTTGGTAGAAGTTTAGTATTGGGATCCATGGGTGTATCAACAGACTTTGAACTCATCAACCCAGTTTCCTCCAAAATATCTATGGCATACTTCCTCTGAGATATAACAATACCATCATTGGACTGTTCTACCTCAATACCCAAGAAATATCTAAGTTTGCCAAGATCTTTGGTCTGAAAATGGTGACAGAGATGTTGTTTCAACTGAGAGATGCCATGGCTGTCACTACCTATAAGAACAATGTCATCAACATATACTATCAAGTAAACACATCCAGCACTCGAGTGTCGATAAAAGACAGAATGATCTGATTCACACCGAGTCATACCAAATTGTTGAACAACCTTGCTAAACTTTCCAAACCAAGCCCTAGGAGACTGTTTTAGGCCATATAGGGATTTGCGAAGACGACATACCATCCCAGAAGACTCCCCCTGAGCAATAAACCCAGGAGGTTGCTCCATATATATTTCTTCTTGCAAATCACCATTGAGGAAAGCATTTTTAACATCCAGTTGATAAAGAGGCCATTGTTGAAGAGCAGCCATGGCGATAAATAAACGAACAGAAGCCATCTTTGCCACAGGGGAAAATGTATCTCCATAATCCAACCCAAAAATTTGAGTATATCATTTGGCCACAAGATGAGCTTTGAGGCGATCAATAGTACCATCAGGTCCAACTTTGATAGCAAACACCCACCTGTAACCAACAACAGATTTTCCAGACGGTAACGGGACCAATTCCCAAGTTCCACTATTATGAAGAGCACTTAGTTCATCTAACATGGCCTGACGCCAACCAGGATGGGCTAAAGCTTCACGGACAGTTTTTGGAATGGTCATAGAAGA